TATGTATATGTATATGTGTATATGTATATGTGTATGTATATATATATGTATATGTGTATGTATATATATATATGTATATGTATATATGTATATGTATGTGTATATATATGTATATGTATATGTGTATATGTATATGTATATGTATATATATATGTATATGTGTATATGTGTATATGTATATGTATATGTGTATATGTATATGTATATGTGTATATGTATATATATGTGTATATGTGTATATGTATATGTATATATGTATATGTATATGTATATGTATATATATGTATATGTGTATATGTATGTATATGTATATATGTATATATATATATATATGTGTATATATGTATATATATATATACACATATATATATATATATATATATATATGTGTATATATATATATGTATGGATGTATCCAGACATGAGGAGAGAAGGAGGAGCTGCTGAAGTGAATCACTCGCTGTAACGTGTGGTTGTGTTGTTCTGTCCTCAGGTCAGTGTTTCCTCTACATGAAGGTGATCGAGAGAGCAGCGTTTCCTGCTAAGATGTGGGAGAAGGTGAGCTTCACCTGTTCCTCTAATGTCTGAACACTTGTTTACGTTGCACGTTTAACCTCTCTCTATATATATACACATAAATACACGTGTGTGTACTTCTACTATATAACTGTGTGTCTGCAGGTGAAGCTCAGTAAGAACTATGAGAAAGCTCTGGAGATGATCGATGAGAACCTGATCTACTGGCCTCGATTCATTCGACACAAATGCAAACAACGTTTCACCAAAATCACTCAGTACCTGATCCGGATGCGCAAGCTGGTCCTGAAGAGACAGTAAGTACTGCAGTACTGCTACACAGTACTGAGAACTAGTACCGCAGGAAGTAACTGTGCTCAAATAAGACAATAAAGTGCTTTAGTTTTATTTTAATACGACTTTATAAAACGTTTTACTGCTAAACTTCCTCCTCTGACATTAAACTGTTTGTGTTTCAGGAGGAAACTAGTTCCTCTGAGCAGGAAGGTGGAGAGGAGAGAGAAGAGGAAAGAGGTGAGACACACACACACACGTCTACGCACACACACACGTTAACTCCTCCCGTTAACCGTTACCTGTTCCCCGTCTGCAGGAGAAAGCTCTGATCGCCGCTCAGCTGGACAACGCCATCGAGAAGGAGCTGCTGGAGCGACTGAAACAGGGAACGGTACGACGACCTCGTCCTCAAAGCTTTATCCACCGCCGTCCACCAGAACAGAAACAATGAAGTTGTTGTTCTGTGTTTTCAGTACGGAGACATCTACAACTTCCCCGTCCACGCCTTCGACAAAGCTCTGGAGCAGCAGGACGAGGAGAGCGAGGAGGAGGAGGAGGAGGAGGAGGAGGAGGAGGACGACGAGGTGATGAAGGTCTTCACGTCTGCTGTGTTTGAGGTGATCCGTGTGATGTCATGCTAACGAGTCTACTTCCTGTCTGCAGGACGTCGGCAAGAGAGAGTTTGTAGCAGAAGAAGAAGCGGAGGAGAGCGACCTGAGCGACTTCGAGGTAAAAACACATCAGAGGAGTCAGAGCTCCGCCTCCTGTGGTCTCGATTTTCAAAATAAAAGTCCTGCTCCTCTATAGAAACAGAACCATGATGACTAGAAGCAGAGAACTAGAACATGTCTTTAGTGCAGAACAACAATTATGATGACATCATTAAAAACACAAGTTACATTTATTTTATTAATAATAAACATAATTATTATTTAATTTATTTGAAGACGATTGAATCTATACACGATTCAAAGTTTAAACGGGTAATTTAAAAAACATTTGGAAAGTACTAAACAGTTTTATATTAAATATGTTGACCTGTTTGATGAATATTTCATATTTAAACTCGTTTAATGAAACCGTTCAGAGCTTTTAATGTGAAATTCAGAATCTGTCGTCATGAAGCTGGTTAGATTTCTCGAAGCTTCTTTTCATCTTTACGACATTAAAACATTCAACTTTAAACTTCTCGTGTGTTTTATGAAGCACTAAGTTTAGATGAGTTAAACTCTTATTATCATAACTTTATTATAATATAAAGATGAAGACGATGTTTCTAACATTGAGTCTTTTCTGTTTCTTCTCAGGACATGAACAAACTGAGGACGAGCAGCGACGAGGAGGAGCAAGACGAGGAAGAGGAGTCGTCCAGTGAGGAGGAGGAGGAGGAGATGGAGGTGGAGAGGAAGACGAAGGCCTCCGGGTCTAAAGGTAAATCTCCGGCCAGCGGCTCGGCGGTGAGGAAGAAGCGAGCGTTCGTGGAGATCGAGTACGAGACAGAGCCCGCCCCCAAGAGCACAGCCACGTCGTGATGTCACAGCCCTCTGCGGCCAATCAGACGGTGACTCTCTGCTGAGGACACGCCCCCTTATCAGGCTGCTTAATGGACACACAGGACGGATCTGACCTGGAATCAGATCAGAACACCCGAAGTGACTTTATCTTCTTCAGAATAACTGTTTTGTTTTATTAAATATTGAGTTGGTAATAATCTGTGAAAACAAAAACGGATGATGAACGTGTCAATAAATCAATTTTGGAAGAAAATGTAAAGCTGCTGGTTTTCTATATTTCTGTATATTAACAAATTGTTTATTTTAAACAATCTACCGACGATGTTAATGTGCAACGTAAAACCTGAACTAAGAAGAGAAACTTTATTTTGATGACAAAATACGACGTAAAAAAAACTGACTGAAAAACGTCAAAGCAAAAAAAGTCAATTAATTTTTTAGCACCTGTATTTTATTTTTCAATGTTTCTCAGTTCGTTATATTATTAAGTGGGAATAAAGATTTATGTAAAGATGTACTTTTAGTTTTTAGAAAATATCTCAGAGTAAATTAGATTAAGTGATTATATGTTGGAGGTCAAAGGTCACTGACCTGTGATAACTAAAGAGTTCATATGTTCACTATCACATACAATAATTCACACGTTCACTATGACAGAGTCTCAGGATGAAATGAAGTGATAACATGATTGTTGGGGGGAAAAAGGTGGCCATTCTAATTAATACCTATACTACGACTTTGACACGCCAATTGTTTTGCACTAATATTTAGAATGCAGTGCTTTCGTACCTCTGCACTGTTATTACCACTCAAACTCCACCAATGCCCCTAAAACTGACTAACAAACGTGTCCCTTCATGTGCTTTATTAGTCCGATCATTCTAAAGCCAGTATTAACTTAAACAAAAGTACTGAACGCGGTACAAAACATTTGTCCTATTCTCTCCAGAGTGGTTTGGACTGAAGGTGCAGATGAATCTAAAAGAAGCACATCGAGTCATCGGCACGCACACACACGCGCACACACACGCGCACACACACACACACACACACACACAC